TGATGTTTGTAGCATAGACGCTGTATTTTTGTTGAAATAGCACATGTGGATTTATCCTTGCAAATCACGTTACGCATTCAGTTCCATTTCCCATCATGCGTTTATTGAATTGGGTATTTGGCCATCACAATGAAGTTTCAAGCACGGTGGAATGCGATTCTCTGTAGGCATATGACTACTGTTATTCACCTGATATTTGCTTGGCGTCTATGTGCACTAAATTCCATAGTCTCTCTTTCAGGAATCTTTGTATTAAATTCCAAAGTTGCAGGTCCCAGTGGTATTCTAAACTCTCCTGTGTTCATGGTGATTTCTGTATGCTGAAACTTATTTTAAAAGTAGTGCTTTTGAGGCTGTAAATTTTATATATATATTACGTTTTTAATGAACATGTTAACATTGACATTATTACACTTTTTCAACGTAAATTTGCTATGTTCCTAGATTTTTTAAAAAAACATTGTTTTATGTGTTATAATTTATTTTGTATTGAATGTATTTACATCTGCGGTGTTTAAAAAATTACAAAATATAATTTTAGGTTAAAGAAAAAATTGGAGCTCTTTTTTCGCTCTCACTGTTTAAAATGAGTGATTAGAAAAGAGAGGAGAAAGAGGATTGGTGGAGTGCGTTCTGATCATAAAAAAAGATCAATCAATTTTAGCATAGTTTTAAAACCCGGCCCGGTCCGGCAGGTTGACCCGGGACCCGGCCGACCCGGGGCTGGAACCAGGCTGGGTTGATGAAAAAATAAGATAAGCCATGACCCGGCGTGACCCGGACAACCCGACAGGTCGACCCGGAAACCCGGACGACCCGGCAAAACCCGGTGGTAACTCGTTGACTTTTATTTATTTTTTTATTAAAACAACGTCGTTTTGAATTTTTTTTTAAAATAGAAATTGACCCGGCCGACCCGTTCGACCCAGTCAAAACCCAGTGACCTGATCAAAACCCAGAACCCGGGTCTTGGACCGGGCCAGCTACCGAGCTGGATTTAAAAACTATGAATTTTAGTGAAGGTGATTTTTATCTTCAAACTGTGAAGTTCTTTTTTAATTGGTTTGGCTTTTTATTTGACACTAATTTAGGATTAAGATTGTGTTTATCAAAGTTTTTCATTTTTTAAATGTATTTTTAGATGAAAAAAAATTAAAATTTGGGATTTAAGGTTTGAAAACTTGAATCTTAATTATTATTATTATTATTATTATTATTATTATTATTTTCAACTGAAAGTGACCATAAAGTATTCAAGTTAAAGACATGTCATCTACCTAAACCATGTTATACTAGTTTTTCTCTTTCTTAAAAGCTTGTTATGCTAGTTTTTATCTTTCTTAAAAGCTTGATTATGATTTGAGAATAATGCTTAATGAATTATTAGAATTTTTATAAATTTTATTATTTAATATTAGGTCTAACAGGATCGATCATGAATTAAAATTTATAATTTATTTTTCTAAAGGATGAGGATCAAACTTGATTGAAAAAAAGAAGTTAAAAAAGGTGAAAATATAAAAAAAATCAATAAAAAAATTAAAAATAGGGAACATAAAAAATTTTAATAAAAAAATGATAAAATAACATAGATTAAAAAATTTCAATTAAAAAAATGATAAAATCAAAGAAAATAAAAATCATAAAAATAAAAATCAAAGTTAATATAGAAATCAAATTAAATCAAATTTTAATAAAGGATGAAATTGAAAAAAAAAATTCAAAACAAAATATTTAGAAATCAAAAGTTTAAGAACCAAATTTAATATAATTGAAAAATAATATGATATTTCTAATTTTTTTACAACTTATAAAAAAGTATTTTTGGTTCACAATAAAAGAAAAATACTTAATTTTTTGAAAATCAAATCAAATTTTTCTTTGACTGAAAAATGTTTTTTATTAACTAATTTTTTTAATAATAAATAAATATAGAAAAGTATGAAAAGTAATTTTTAAAAACTTTATTTTCATGAAGTAAAGAGGAGCTTAATAGCCTAAATTTCAAAAACTATCCTATAATAGTATATACGATGCTATATTGGATATATGCATAGTATAATTACTAGGATTTTTATATGTTTTATAATGTTTGCAAATTTGCCATGACATTTAGAATTACATGCTTATAATTTTAAAATATATGTAAACTAGACTTCCCTTTAACATCTTATTTGTCTGGAATGCTATAGTTATGATGAGCTAAACTTACTTGCAAATCTGGTATATTACTTTTGGATTACAGCTTCAAATAGGGAACTAGACCCATGAGTTTGTAGCAAAAAGATACCACGCATGAGCAAAGGAAGAAAATCTATGTTGCTTTGGATAGTTTATATGAACATTTAAGATAAATAGGAGATACACCGCTGCATAAATGCGCATTCTCTTTTGCTCAAGTCTTGTCTGAAAAAGGTTGGCTTGGAATACCAAGTCGAAATGGTGTTCTGAAAAGAAGGAACAATCGAACTGATTACCTCCAGGAGAAATGAAAATGGGAGGCAACGCAAGGAATAAGAGAGATTGTGATAGTTTCTTGAATCGTGCTCTTATTTTGGATCTTGCTGTTTAGGTTTGACAGAGATATAACTGTTTATGTTTCCAAGGGTTTGGGGAACTTGATCGTCTCCTCCACATTGCATTCTGACTTCATGGATTTATGGATGCTCTACTTGTCTGGCAGGGGCAAAATGCACCCCAGTAATGCTCTGGTTTCCGATGTATGAAATTCTCTTCGCACTGGAATACAAATATCGGGTGTCTGCTACAACATTTGCGATGCCACCTATGTATATCCCATTTACTTTGTCCCACCTCTACTATACTGGTCAATCTTCTTTACATTTGTGCTCAACAATGTTGGAAGATGAACTGCATGAAAAATGCAAATCAATTGCTAGCTAGCTGTCTTGTCTGAACTCCAACTTCCAATAAATGAAGCATTGGAATCTTTTTTCTGGATTATGCTGAGAGCTTTAGATTTTATTGGCGCAATTCTGATGACTTGAGTTGTCATTTCATGCCTGCTTAGCCTTGCCGTCTTGGTACAGAATAAGATCATAAATAATGCAGATTATGAGAGTTACCACGATTCACCAGGATTGTTCTTCTATTCATGATTGATAGTTAAGATACTCGAGAAGAAAGATACATCATCCATAAGTTTTCCGGGAAATCAACTGTCGGTGATATGCCAAGCGCATGACATAATTATGATCAGTCATCAGTCTTCGGATAAGGGATGACATCTAGCATAAGAGTAAACATATTTTGGTGCGATTGAGCCGAGTTCATGTTCTTTATTGTTATTTCTTTTAATGATTTGTTACGAAAACATATGAAAGCATAAATCACATGAACTTTATATGTATATAAGGTTTTCTTCACACAAAAAAAATAGAAGAGACTTTGGCTGTACGAGTTTCTGAAAAAAAAACATAGGGAAGCATCACATTTTAATTTCGATTGATTCTCGTAACTTAACTAAAATAGGATTGAGTGAAATGAATGCTTTTCATGCTTACTTTGTTAAGAAAAAAACTTAACTAGAGAGGCAAAAAAATTTCAATTCCCATCCATTTCCATCCCATCACGATTTTTTTCTAAACACTGCCATCCATTTCCATCCCATCACGATTTTTTTTCTAAACACTGCTGTTGAGGGGATGGCATCCCTTAATTTGTAGCACTAGGCTTTCCAGATTCAGGGAGTTTACAAACTTACAATAGTCGACGAGCAGCCAGAAATTACCAGATACGAGTAAAAGAGGAAGAAACCCTCATCGAGGATGATCACTGTTTTTTTTCTAGACACTGTTAGAAGCGACAGAGAGCTATCATCATCTTTGCACTTATTCCAAGTAATGCAGGAACATTGCGTCATGTGAAATTGGACATAAGAAATTGGGAGGTGCCGTTTTTTTATTTTCACTTTCTATTGAAAAAGAAGGAACGTTAGCTTGTCTGATGCCAGGTTGGGAGGTGCCGTTTTTTTATTTTCACTTATTCCAGGTAAGGCGGCATTTAATCTTCCCAGTGCCATTCTGATGCCATACCAAATGTTAAAATCAGGCATTAGTACCCCATTTGCTATAACGATAAGGTGGACTCTCTCTCTCTCTCTCTCTCTCTTTCGGGTTTCCGTCAAAATCCCTATCAATTCCATCGCAACTGCCCGACCTCTAGCCCTTATAATTGAAATACGGGAAAGATGTCTTTGAAATTCCCTTTTGTGCCTAATAATTCAGCTAATATCGTCCGTGTGTTTGCCGAAATTCTTCAGATCCCTTTTGATAATAAACTAGTATAGTGACCAAACTTCTATCGTGAATTGGCTCGATTAACTTCTATCGTGAATTGGATTGATTTTAATATATATATATATATATATATATATAGAGAGAGAGAGAGAGAGAGTTTTTTAACATTGTTACTAATCTTGATCAAGTGTGTTAATTTTAAAACTTCTCAAGTGAACTCTTAGCGTAACTCAAGTATTTAATTAAATATCGTGAGAGTTAGCTAGAATTAAATTAATTGATTTCATATATCCAAATACAACTTTGATAAGTATTTAATTAAATATTGTGAGAGTTAGCTAAAATTAAATTAATTGATTTCATATATTTAAATACAATTTTGATGATCGATAAAAACATAATTTAATTTTTAAAAAAATTTCAAAATAATAATTTTTAAAAAAAATATTAAAACAATAATAAATTAAATTGACCTCAGCCCCTATGACCCATGTCATAAATTCCATTAAGTTTAATAATTTTTTTTATTTAACTATATAATAAAAATAGATGCTCATAAAATTAAATATCAACCTAAAAATAAACATATTTGAGACAATTATCTTTATAAAGCAAGCAAAAATCAATAATGCAGTTCATTTCTCAACCAATCTAATATTCAATGATAAAATCAAAAAAGAATAAATTAAAAAAAATTAAAAACAAAAAACAAAAAAAGTATACCCTATCGATTGGTAAACTCACCAGACCTATGAATCGGGTAAGTTGGTCTAGTACACCAAACTCGTGAACTAGGTTATAGACTCCACTAAAATTATAATTTATTTTTTAAACTATTTTTTATTTAATTATATGATAATAAAAATAAATGATTGCGAAATCAAACATAAACTCAATGCCAAGATGTTTTTTAAATCGCGAAAACTTCATAAAAAAACAAAACGAAACCAAATATGAAACTGAATTCCTAATTAACCCAGTATCTAAAGATGAAAAAAACTAATTTAAAATAGTTAAACTTGTCAGACTTGCGAACCTAGTCAACCAGTCAAACTTGTGAATAGATTCATGAACTTTATAAAGTTTAATAACATAACTTTTTAATTAAAAAAAAACTATTTTTTAACTATATGATAAAAAAAAATAGACTATAAAAAGTCAAGTTTAATTAAAAAAACCTATCAAAGTCATAAAATAGGACAACTCAAGTTACCCTGACAAATTTGCAAACTATACTAACCTTATAGATAAGTAAAAGAAAAAAAAATAACTTATGAAGCTAAATTCTCAATCCAAATATTAAAAGATGAAATTGACAAAAAAAAATTGAAAAAAACATAAGAAATTGACAAAAACAAATTTGAAAAAAACATAAAAAAATTCAAAAAGAAAAGGAAATAAAACAAAACATCATGGATTACTATTGTCATTTATAATGCAATATATGTGGGTGAATAGTGGTTTCCTCACATTATCACACCCTTTAATTTTTTTTATTTTATAAAGTTTAATAATATGAATTTTCTCTAAACTATTTTTTACCTATACAAGAAAAAAATAAACTATAAAAAAATCAAGTTCATTTTAAAAAAAAACAAACCACCAAACTCATTAACCAAGACAACCTGAGTTACCTAAGTAAATCTGTAAGCCAAACTAACTTCATATAAAGGCAAAATAAAAAGAAGCAGATTACGAAACTAAATTTTTAACAATTTCAATTTTAAAAGATGAAATCGACAAAAATAGATTTGAAAAAAATATCATAATAAAAAAATAAAAAATAAAACAATTTGGAGTAATCCACAATCCAATGAATGTTAGGCGTGCAATGGTTTCCCTCATGTCTTTTGATTTTTGTTATTTTATAAAGTTTAATAATATATTTTTCTCTAAAATAATTTTTTTAATAATATAAATAAATAGACTATAAAAAAATTAAGTTCAATTAAAAAAAAACCTCGCAAAAAAAATCAAGTTCAATTAAAAAAAACCTCACCAAATTCATAAACTAGAATAACCTAAGTTATTTCAACAAACTCACAAACCTCAATTATCTTAATATTAAAAAATAAAATTAATAAAAATAATTTAAAAAATTATCAAAAAAAAGGAAAAAAAAATCATTTGTTAAAAAACAATATAATAATTCACCTATTTTACAAAGAAAGGTAAATGCTTTCCCGCACGTGATTTAACTTTTCATATACTTAATTATTAAAGCTCACCTAGTGTCCACACTCTACGTTATACGAAATCTTAGGGAGGGTGCTTTTGACCTTTAGTAGTCTTGATGAGTATGCCTTTCTAGTGCTTGAGTTTATTATCAATTTTTATTCTTAATTTTACTTCCTTGTCTCTTCACTTCTAGAACATGCAAATTCCTGGACCAAGGCCCGTCCCTTCGGGAGGGAATCTAACCCTTTTCTTGAAGCCTATTATAAGGTAGCTTGTCCTTAGATGTACGTGTCCATTTCTCGAAGGATAAAGGAAGATACGCTGCCTAGATAACAATCTAGTATAAAGCGACGCCGAAATTGGAAATCGTGATGCATTTGATCACATACTTCATATTTGGTTGCTTTTTTTTTTTTTTTTCACACTGCGGGCATCTGTAATTATTTATCAGAATATAATTCAGATTAATCAATAATATTTTGTATGTGAATAATAAACATACATAATGTGCTACCCAAGATATGATATAGTAAAGAACTTTAAATCCTGCCTATCCAACAGCCAATTCTCTTAAAGAGAAGGGGCTAATTACTTGATTTGCCTATGAATAAATTGTGTAATTAACACAATGAATGTAAAATTTTAATGGAATGATACCATTTGAAAATAAATAAACTTGATAAAATAATATACTCTGAAACTTAATATTTATTAAATATAGCACTTGAAATAGCTTAACAATTTAAGATATTGTATTAATAAAATGTCACATCAATTTAAATTTAAATATATAAAATAATAATTAACATCAATAATATTTAGTCAAATATTACGATTCTAAAATAAAATATTATTAAAATATTATATTTATAAATCATGATATCATTGAAAATATATTATTTTATTAAAAATAATTTATTCTGTGTTACTTCACCATTTATTTATTTTTTTAATGCAAGTTACACAATCTATCCTTCGTCTATGATGTGATGGGTGTTGGTTACTTGCATCGGATACTCTTTATTATATATATATATATATATGGCTGCTGAACCTATCGGTGATGTGAGTGTAGAAAGCAAAGCAGGCAGGGTAGGTCCTGACAGAAAAGCAGGAATTATATTGCCTCTGCAATAATGAGTTTTTTTAATAAAAATATATATTAAAAAATATTTTTATATATATCAGTATATTAAAAATTATTTAAAAATTATTAATTTAATATTTTTTAAAATAAAAAATAATTTAAAAAACATTTAAAAAATTAGATTCAGATATAATCAGCATGAAAGATTTAACTCCACCTAGCTTTGATTACAAATTTTTATCTGAAAAAGCTTTGATTGAATTAAATTAAAATGTGAACATACACAGTATCGTTGTGGTCACCAATGCTTCAGTATAGTGGCATTCATGGACGTAATTCTGTCAAAGAACCCAAAATGCTAAAGTGCCGCCTCATAATCATCTATCGTAATAATTAAGGGGAAAAAAAAGAGCCTTCTCCTGTGTCTTTAAGAAATGGGATAATTCAACCATCTAGGTGGTGGCCAAGTGATTAGGACTTAGGATCAAGGGGTTTTCATAATCATCTATCGTAATAATTAAGGGAAAAAAAAGAAGCCTTCTCGGGTATCTTTAAGAAATGGGATAATTGAACTATAAATATGTCAATTTTTAAAGCTTTAGTTTCTAAATTTTAATTTTTCTATTTGAGTACCACGTTAATCTAAAAAAAAAAAAATAAGATAATTGTAACCATGTAGGTTGTGTTGAAGGGTAAAAACTTGAAATTAAAAGATTTAGTTTTTTTAGAATTTCAAGTTTAAGTTGTTAATTACTTATATAATGACTGCTAGAGGTTTATATGTTCGTTAATTTTAGAATTTATAGAATTAGTCGTGGTGCGTATAAGTTGATCCAGACACCCACGTTAATCTAAAAAAAATAGAATAATTGTACTATAAATATATCAATTTTTAAAGTTTTAGTTTCTAAATTTTAATTTTTCTATTTGAGCACATTAATTTTTTCAAAACTATCAATAAACTATAAATATGTGCAGTTTTATTTTTATTTAAAAAAGATAAAAAAGAAAAAGAAAAGGAGAAAAAAGGCAGGATAAATAATATGCAAAACAAGAGGATTTTTACATATTACATATTCCATTTCTTTTCTTTTTAATTAAGTTATCTAAACAAGAGGATTTTCTTACAGATATTTAGCAAAACATATTGTATGCTTTGTTCCTTTTGTCCCTCATGGAATTCTTTATCATTAATAATTAATTTTAAATAATTAATTAATTTTTAAAAAAACACCGCCTTTTCAAACATATTCTTTAGACGAAAGCCGAGCTCTTAGGCTTTACACATTGAGACTAAACCGACCTCAAGACGGACAACTGGTCCATCGTGGAAACAAGGATCGCAGCTCGTCTAGATTTCGAGAATCGCATGCTAAAAGCAGGAATAGAATAGAAGATAAATCATGTTTGGCTACGTGTTTGAATATTCCAAGCAGGGGTATCCTGCTTCATGGGGCACTAAAGACGGGCTAAATAAAAGAATCGAAAGGAGATTAAAGCTTAATAAATGCCGGGGAGCTTCCGTCCACAGCTTGATTTCATATTTCTACCTGTGATAATTGGAACAGTATATGACACTGAATCTTGTTCCTATCCTGCGTAGGATTATAAATGCTTTCGGTCTCACATGTGGCCAAGCCTTGCCTAAGTAAATCCACTAAACCGGGCAGTATTCTGATGGAAGAGCCCTCCCTTCAACGGCAATTTGCATTCAAAGCCTTCGGTATCAGATCTTTCGTGTTGCGGTGCATGGTTGTGATGGGTCCTAGTCTTGAGCTTGATGTTCAATGGTCCTGATGTGGACTGCGACCGCGGGCCCTTTCTTTTCTCTGCTTTGAACAGATCCTTTTTTTGGTCGGTTTTTCTTTATAATTCAAGTGATATTTAAGGTTGAAATGATTTTTAAATATGACACGAGATTCTTAATTATCTGATCATAAATTCAAATTTTATTATTTTTATTTATCTAATAAAAATTAAATATAAAATAATATAGATTTATGCCAGTTTTAAATTTTAAAAAAAATTATTTAAAAAACTTATTAAAAAATAATATCAATCGTATATTTAGATTTTATATAAAAACTTTAATTATTGAATTGAAATAATTATTTAGCATATTTACTTCTATTCCATCCCTTGAATGTATATAAGCTGTTGGATTAGTAAAAAACAAAGGTCTTCTGATGATGATCCTACCATCTCTGTCTCTTGTCTCTTTTATGTTATGAGCAAACTCCCTTGGGATCCAAAACAAGACACCATAATGCTATATGGTACTCCTAATTTATAATACTAAGACTCTAGGAAACGTTATTTCCAGGGCCAATAAATTCACACTAATCTCCTAAACCAACTGGATCATCTTATCCGCTTATAAAAAAGAGGAACCAAACTCCAAGAGTCTAACCAGGTTAAGCCACCAAAGTGACCGGCTCATCACGCGAGTCCCAATAATCCTGACCTGCAAGCAGGCTAAATACACACGTCTGGTTACTCGTTGGACCGACCAATCCCATCAATTGCATTTTGAAACGTGATGCACCCCTTGCGTGGCACTGTAACGAATAAGGCAGCACCTATGGAGGAGGCACTAGACCTGATCGGGATCAATCTTGACAGTTCTCGGGAGTACAGACATTTTGCGGGAGGGCAACGAAGTTGCCGATTTATCTAGCCAATTCGGGGGCCAAGCAATATGAGCAGATGATCCACCTTATCATAAATTCGTAATATTCTTCAGGCAGTTTTGATTTGGAACTCCGTATTAACTAGAGGTGGCTAGTGTTGAAATTGCATAAAAAGAAAGAAGTAATGACACGATATTCTCTAAAGGGGGGAAAAAACGAGAAGGCACATGCTGTGCTGGCCGAAATAACTGCCGTTGATTGATTTCCTTGTCCTACCTATGGTAGTGAAACAACAAAGTTGCCTCTAGGTAGCTATCGAGAGGATAAGAGTTGGGCCAAAAGAGTTTTTGTTCATTGATAAATGAATAGATATAGCCTTTAGTTTTATCAAATTTCAGTTAATCTGAAGAGGGTCTCTTATGCTTCTAGGACAGATCATGTGTGCCCAATATTGCTGCAGCCAAGGTAATGAAAAAACTCATCATCCTACGAGCGAAGTGTCTACTGCTAAAGCCAACTATCAATCTTGAGAATGAATCACAAAAATGAGAATGATTGAGAAGTTAATGGCGATGAGCTATACACATAGCACCCATTTTGGCAATGTCTTGTGTTCGACGAGGCTTAATTTGTTTCTCTCTAAGCTCAACTCATCGGGATAGTTTAGTTTCCACATACATTATTCCTTGCATTATCATATTCCCTGCGGTCAACAATGGCAGGATCATTAAGTGTAGTGCCAGCGGTTTTTCACAGAGTTGTTTACGTATTTGAGAATCAATTGGCACCATGCATTGTTATACAAGTTGGGTACCAATACTGGTTCGTTTTCCTTGTATCCGAGGACATACGGTAAATGGATTCCAAGGGAAGAAAGGAGCAGCATGGTTTTAAACAAGCTGGTTATCGCTGCAGGCAACGGGTTTTCTGGGACTCGCATGGAAGTACTTAAAGCTTCACTGCCGAAGGTGACAAGACTTGTCAGGAACCTTTAATTGGTCGATTGAATCAAGGGACATTGTGGTTTGCAACGTTGTAAATGCCAGGCATTTGCTTAAAATCCAAAAGGGCATGAAAGGCAGGCTTCCAGAGTCACGGTCACTCACACAAGAATATATAAGGAATTTAGGCAACTTACGCCTACTTCACGGGCAAGATGATTGGGGAAATTCGTTATAAAAAAGTAAGATATTATGAAAAATAAGATAATAAAATGTGTTAGACAAAATTGTTGTCAAACTCAAGATCATAAACACAAAACTTACATTTTCTTTATTTTTTCTAAACATCCAAAATGTAGAGAATAAAATCACTTATAAATAAACTTTAATCCTAAAATATGATAATTTTAGATTTTTATAAATAAATTAATTATATGAGTATTTATTTTCTCATTTAGACTCACAATTTAAGGTGAAATGTTAACAAGTAATAAAATGTCATATCAAGAATGTGATGTAAAAGTTAATATTCTTGAAAATGATTCTTTTAGTTATAATAATTGGAAGCATCCTTTTTGTCAAGATATATAAGATAAATTTCAATAGCAAAAAAAAATGACACAGAAGTTGAGATTTTTTTTATGATTATAGTGTTAGGTTCCTGAATATCATACACTTATTAGAAACTATAAAATAAAATTATTTAAAAATCTTTGAAATTCTATTAAACAAATCTAAAGTTATTTGAAGATTTATTACTTAAAAATTTTATATCTAAAGTTATTTGAAGATTTATTACTTGAATTTTTTTTTTTTTTTGGCTTTGAACGATTCTTTAAAAATTGAGTTGTCACAAATCACAAATCGTTTAATTATTCACCTTCTAATGATAATCAACACGAACCACTAATGAGAAATATCCTAAATCTATATTTAGAAGAGAGGGATCACTATACCTAGAATGGTAACTCTAATTCTGTATTTTTGTAGTTTTTCTATCTAATAAACAATATTTTTTTTTAAAAAAAAAGAAGAAGCATAACTTGCTATTTATAGAGAAATTTTAAAAATCTTATAAATTGACAAAATGTCAATTTTCCCCTTGAATAATATTCAAATATTAATTCAGGAAAATTTTAGAAATTAACTCAATCAAGTTCGTACTTGATTTTTCTAATCTAGAAATATAATTCATGTATTAATTATATTCTTAGTCTTTAATTTCTAAAATATATTTTAATTAAGTCATACATAATTAAATCATCCTAGTTTAATTTCTAACTATATTAGGTTTCTAATATGTTGGCTCAAATATAAAGTATAATTATAGTTAAATAAATTAAAATTTTCAATTTATTACTAATTAAATAATTGATTAATTTATATTTGAAGACTATGTGCATCGTCTATCAATGTATCATGATCTCCTAAATATTAGAAAAGTCATTAGTGGGTTGACTTAACCTTTTAGTGACCAGTTTATCATTATAATTAATATTCTTTCATCAATAATATTTTGATTTAACATTAAAGTATAGAGCATATTTGTCATGTTAAATCAAGTATGTATCGTTTGAATAACATTTGAAACTCTTTTCAAATCTTATTCCATCTTAGCCAAGGATTTCATAGTCAATAATATTTGAGAACAGATGAAATATTTTTTTTTAATTCACCTAAGGTGATAAATAATCTCTTGATCACACAAGTACCTTCATATAGTCCATTTTATACCTAATTTTTGTCCTTTTATTACCCTTATTAAGATAATATGTAACATGATCAAATAATATTCTTTATATAAGATGACCTAGTGACCTTAAGTCTAAAGATCATTTACACAACCGTCATATGAGTCTTTCCATATACATAGGTGATATTTTCATATAAAATTCTCATGCGGATTAATTCAGTGTATATATCTTTAAAGGAAAGAAAATAATATTTATCAGTCTTTACAGCTTTAATAAATGTCTAATATTTAAGAAAGCGTCGACCAAGAATATTTTAGGAACAATGCTTTGATGCAATAAGAATTATATAATTATAACAACTTTATAATTTTCTTTACAAAACATTTTTGCCCCATGAACTTTATCTTTACTCTAGATTCAACAATATAATATTATATAAATATTAAAGAAAAAATAAGCTTTTATTAATAATAAATATATATTTATATGAATATAATAATGTCATATGTAACCAACCGATTGGCTACAGAGTATATCAAGTTAAAATCTAGATCCTTAATGAATTGGAATCAACCATCAAATTCGATGAGGATGAGAACAATGATACTGAAAGGGAAGACTTTAATGCAAGAATCTCAATATATGATGAAACTAAGTATGCCAAATAAGTTCATGTTATGTCAACTGAGGAGCACGTTGCGTTACTGGTTCTAATAGTGTTTTTTGAAGAAGAAAATGATGCATAATATGCTTCATATGTGATTATGGAGAATTCTTAAATTAATAGGCTCAAAGTTAATGTTCTTGGATAGAAAAAGAGTGAACTAGTCAATGTTCCAACAATATTCCAGAAACAATTGTCAGTAGTTAACAATATTCCAGAAACAATTGTCAGTAGTTAACAATATTCCAGAAACAATTGTCAGTAGTTCAGAATATTATAAAACTGATAAAAGCAGAGGAGTTGAGTTGTTCTTTAATGATAATCCAAGGTAAAGGATTTCAATCGAAGGCTTCTATAAAAGATCATGGAAGTGATTTGATTGGGCATCCATGAGATCAGGAAAAAAAACTATATGAACTCAAGAATAAATTTTTCTCAATTAGGGAAACATGACATGAAAGTGTCCTTAAATAGTTCTACTGAAGTTAGGTTATTTGAGTTTAAATTGAAAATATAAATGAAAGAATGAAGTTCTTGATGAAATTTACTATCAGCCCAGAGGTCAAATTTGAGGCTACATTTTCATATCTTCAATACATGGTAAAATAATCTTATCATATGTAGTTTTCAAGTTCAAAATATAATTTTTCTAAATTATCCAATCATGCATGCATTGAAGTTTTCTACAAAAAAGTTATGATTATTTTAGTTTCTACTTGTTTATTTATAATTAGAAAGTAAAAACATGTGCTAGTTATTGTTTTTATCATATTATTTATTTGAGTCTTAATAATATTATTTTGGTGTTCTATAGTGCTTGGATAACTGTTCCATTCATATAATGATAATTCAGACTATATTATAAGATGATTTGATTTTAGATTTGATTATTTGATTTTATAATAAACTATCAAGTTTTATTTTTATTTTTAGTGATAGATTATATATTAATTTTGTATTTCTAAAGTAATGATTTATTTTCTATTTCTAAAGGGATGAGTTTATCAATATTTGTATCTCTTAGAGTTTGTATCTTGGAGGGTGAACAGAAATATTTATTCTATCCATTCCATCCCATTGTCAAACCTAACAGGCGATGGGGTCAAGTTTTTATGATCTGAGATGAAAACGCTCTACCAGATGCAATGGGACCACAGTGGGACCCATTTTGAACACGCTTGCCCAAATCTTAAACATTTTGGTCTTTGAAATTCTTTTTATATATTACTATAATAATGAAAGGTGTAAGTAAAGTAATGTGTAGAACTCTCGTTCTGAAATCCGAAGTTATTGTGACAATTTAATGGCCACCGGGGCTTTTAGGTGGCCTTGGGTTCATGTTCATATGCCACTTGGCTAGTGGTTTTTGTATACGAAATTGATTTATAAAACAGTCTTCATCGCCTATCATAGCTTGATCTCATCCTCCCAATTTCGTTTGCTTTGTAGGATCTGTTAAAGTATTTTAGGTTTGGATAAACCCTTCAATTTTATATATATATATATATATATATAGTTTCATTTCCAAACAATTTTATACATTAATTTTATCTGTTTTGATTCATTTTTAAAAGTTCTCGTATTTATTTATATTTAATTTTCTTAAGAAACAATTTCATTTTATTAAAACATTGATGTTTTTTTTTGTTCTAATAGAAGATTTTTATTAAAAAAATAATAATTTAGAATTAAAAATAATATAAAAAACATAATTTGAGGACAAAACTGATTCCATGCCAGTAATTTTGAAGTGTATTTAAGACTTGTTGCACTTGTCTTGCACAGGTTAATTAGCCTAGAACTTTGAACAGACGTTAAATATCACCGAGGTGTATATTGTCATTTATGCATGATATTTAGGATATGTTTGAGATTGTAGTATAATCATGCTTTTAAATAATTTTTTTTAATTTTTAGATTATGTTAATATTTTAATATCAAAAATAAATTTTAAATAATAATAATAATAATATTTTAATATATTTTAAAATAAAATTTACTTTAAAAACAATATTTATAACAATTTTAAACATGGCCTTAATAATAAAACACTAATTGAAGTTATTTTAAATGTTCATGTAAATGTCATTGAACAAGAACAAATATCGAGCTCAATAAATTATGTTGCGGGTCAACTGTTTTTTAATAGTTTACAAACTCAAATAAAAAATTAAATTAATTAAAAAACATATTTATATTGTAAATATTTATTTGGCATTGTTATTAAATTTGGTTTAATAAATTATTCTTAAAATTTTTTTATCTGATTTTTTATTTAATCTGGGTTTAAAGTTAAACAAAGTAAACATTACCTTGATTCAGTTGATGTTAGCAGTATAAAAACAACCCAACTGATTTGTAGAAAAAACTTAAGATAGAATTAAGAAAATATAATAAAATTAACAAGAAAAAAATCTTTTTGATTTAATTTATTATATAAATGATTTTAAAATTAAATTTGGTAAGAGTTGCTCTAATATAATCCAAACGACTGGGTTAATCCAAAAGTAATTTGATTAATGTTACAATATTTTAACCATGAAAATGAGAAAAAAAATAAAAGAGAAAAAGGGAGGAAATGAAAAAAAAACAGAGAGAGGATAAGGGTTTTTTAGAAAAAAAACAAAAGCAAAAAGAAGCTTCATGAATCATAAACAAAATTTTAAAAACAAAAGGAAGGTTCATGAATCATAAAAAGAGTTTTTTTAAGAAAAAAACAAAAACAAAAAGAAGCTTCATGAATCATAAAAAAAGTTGAGCTGCAGTTCATTTAGCATAGAAGATATATAATTCTGTCAAAAACCTCTCTGCCAACGGGGGATTTAAGTTGTGAATCATGATTGACTACCTAATTTTCTGTATTTCTACAATTTCTATAGATTTTAAACAGCTCATGGCAACGGAAAGTTAATTTGACTGGCTGGTATAAAACTTTTGATGGACATGTTTTTATTTGTTCTCTTTATAGTTCACAAAATTTTGATTATATATTAATTAATTAATAAAATACTAAAAAGTATGAATAAATTTTTCCAAGATGGTTTTTCAATTAGTTTTTTATTTTATTTTTTA